CAACTTTTCTGTGAAGAGCAAACATTAAAGTTACAGTCTTTATAAGAGCATGTGACTTAAGGGTTTACATCTAATTGTGCAGTGTGCCAGTCAATAAAGTGATCCTCCTCAGAACAGGTCTCAGTTAACCCACATGACATACTGCTGATCTGGAGTTTTGCTGTGAGGTGGCATAAAGATTTTAGTGGATAAAGTAATTTAAATGTATGTACATGCCTGATGTGAACAACGACATTGTTTTGTTCTTATATAACTTCCATGTTTGAACACAGAGACAGGGTTTCACAAACAGGGCTTAGCTTAAACCAGAACTAGGCCTTGGTTAAATTAGGATATTTAAATAACTTTTATAAAACTGCCTTAAGAACTTTACTGGTGTGCATCTTGAGACACGACAATGGCACTGACATATTTTAAAGGGGTCATATGATGCGATTTCCAGTTTTCCTTTCTCTTTGGAGTGTTACAAGCTGATTAATAATGATCTTTAAAATAGCAACATATGACCCCTTTAAAATGTGTCAGTACAAGACATTTTCAGTTAATTCAACTGAACATGCATTTTAGTTTGAGACTGGCCTGTGAATCCGGGGATAATGTTTATATAACATTAGCTGTGCTCTCTTTTCAGTTATGAGGGCCATACTTACACTTCCAAAGCATCTCTTCCATTTCTTCTTCCTTCCAAAACAAGATATTCGTTAAGAGGGCTCTGAACCTAGATAGAACAGAAGTATATTCATCCGTTTTTGTATTTATACCATTAATTAATTTAAACTTACTCTTTCAAACAACAGCCATGTCTATTAAAAGTGTTCGTTAAATTATTGCACTCACCATATTAGCGCCACCATCGTCTCTCCTCCGCTGCAATCTCGGCTGCTGTGTGAGTCAAATTAACTTACACTCCTCATAAACAACGTCGAGTGAAAAAGAAAAAGGAAAAGACGAAAATAATCTCAGTCGAACTCGCTGGTCCGGGTTTCAAGCGTGGTTCTGTCCGCTGCAGGCGCGTGAGAAAACTAGCTAGCTAACGGATGAGAAATGTCCCGTCGTTTAGACAAACAACAATTTTCGCCGATCACAGTCTCTCGAGGAAAAGAAAGCAATAAAAGGTAAATGACAGAAATGAACGTCCTTACACCTAATTTATCTAAAACAAAGTTTCCACCTTCTCATCCACAGCTCATTAAATTCACACACAATCACGGTGACAAAATGGTGTCGTTAACTGATTTGCAGCACCGGTGTGAGGAGGCATGGTCATGATATAAACTTAATAATATGAGTTAATCTAACCTTGATATTTTACATTTGTCAAAACAAATATGTCTTAGTTGAGCTCTTAATGAAAAATATTTATATTTATCAATGTTTTGAACTAAAAAAATATTACTTGAAAAATAAAACAAATAATGGTAAATTTAATTGAAAGACAAATTATTAATTGGATGAAGTACTGCTTGAAAAACTTTTTTCAGTGTACCGTATAATTAAATGAAGTGTCATATAACGAATAGAAGTGTTTACACTGCTGCTGTCTTGCAAAATGCATTAAAATGGTACTTTGTGTTCTAGGTGTGCAGTGGATAAGCTCCACATGGACACCAATGGGAGTCTGCTGATCCTGTGCACAGATACTGTTGGCAAAAATACGACAACAGGCAGGATCCTACTGGTCATCAAAGGGAAAGACTACGGTATGTCTGTTAGAAGTGGCTGGTTTCTAAAAACATGATGGATTACTGTACAAGCGGAAAGGCTTTTCAACAAGCCAAGTAGTTCCAACCAGGCAACCACTCAAGAAGTTCCTGTATTGTATTTCAGAAAACATTAAATTCTCCATCCATGTACTGGTTATGAAATAATGTTAAGCTTTTATGCTGAGAACAGAATGTCTTCGATGGAATGGGGGTACGTTCCAAAAAAATGATTTAAGACTTTCAGCAGAAACCGATAAACGCTTTATTCAAGAATACTATTGCAACACTATCGTTTCATAACGTGAGAACACACTTTAAATATAAAAATACTTCTTTTAATCCCTGGGGAATTTCAAGTACATACAGTATGCAGCTATATTATTTATCGCTGTCAAAGAGCGTTTATATGGTCATTTAGTACATTGTTGAAACACAAAACGACCAGCAAGGCAGTCCATCTCTCAAACGTGCTGACTAAGACCCTAAATCAATACCAGAAGTGTATATACATTTTTTCCTATGGCTAAGTAATGGATTGGCTTTCTTGTACTCCTCCTTACACATTGGCAGCAAACAAATATGGCTCTCTCCCAACCAATACATTTAAACCCCAAAAAGATTGTCTTGCAAGTGTGCCAAATTACCCCAAACACCAAGCCATTTACGATGTTAAATCATCGCCATGGTGAAGGACTTACTTCATTAAATCACATTTTATTGTTTTACGGGGCTCTGACTGTAAGGTTAGAATACTCGCCATTCCCTAAGCTGCTGTAATCTTTGTAGCCATACAAACTTACACAAATATACACAAACACTCGATAGTAATTGTAGGATTACCTCACCCTTTCCTCTTGTGTCCTTTTCCTAATCTATTTGAGCTATAATGTGAACTTAACAGTGCTCAAACTGAGCATTAATAAGGACATTTAGTGAAATGAACATAGCCCTCCATATCAAGTTTACATAGTGTTTTATAACCGTCTGGGGAATAGCTAATTAAAACCAGCCTGTGTGAAGTGCTAATGGTCTCTTGACAGATTGTGGTAAACGTGGATATCCCTTACACAAACAAAGAAAACTGTTATTATGGGGATAAATCAACTTTGCGACACATGTAGGATGGTGATTGAAGACATTTAGTTTGTAAAATGTGTAAAATTGAGTTATTTAAACAAAGCAGGTGATTTCTGTTAACTCAATTGGATTTTGAAGCTCAAATAACCCATAACTCATAAAAATAACCTAAAACTCATGTTGACTTGTTACCTTGGTCTGCTTTTATTTCTTGACGGTGTGTTGTGTCTGCCCACAGAAAATGAGTCATCTATGTTTGATTTGGGGTCAAATGAAGGTGCCGTCCCAGTTGGTGGATTCATCTACCGGGGATGTCAGTCAAGAAGACTTTATGGAAGTTATGTATTTGGAGACAAAAATGGGTATGTTGTGTTATTATATGATGTGAAATTATAATTATTAATTATGCAACATTATGCAAACTGCTTAGTATATCCCTTGAACATGCTTATGCTTCCAAACAGATATTGAGCTTCCATTTTCATATTGCTCCTCATTGGATTTTTTTGGCAATTGTGAAACTGCGAATGGAAACTGTCATCTTTCCTGTGTTATTGACTGTGCCAACACACACACACACACACACTCGGCACGTACCCCAATTAAGAAAAAGAGCTTTTTCAGGGAAAATTGATAGCAGGTTTCCTGCCAGGTCAATGGGCCGCTGGTATATGTTTTTCACACTTTACGCAGGTTTGTAATTCATCCTCACTATCAGCCTGCCTTTTTTGTCAACAATAAGAGACAAACTGTAGCAAATAAATTGTTCCTGGAAATCCAAAGCAGTAAATTATGTCTGATGTTTTGTCATGTAATTTTGTATTTTGTAAAAAATTAAGATGTTTACTTAAGTCTGCTGGGACTTTGTGCAGGATAAATAGAGCAAGGACATTTTTAACCCCTGACTTTATGATTGTTACAGGAGCTTCAGAATTCTGCAGAGGCCTTCAGAAGACAGGTCGTGGCAAGAGAAGCCTCTTTGTCTTGGTACTGGCAGTTCCTGTGGTTCCTCGCTGGTAGGCCACATCCTGGGGTTTGGCGAAGACGAATTAGGTCAGTGAGCTCTCAAAAAGCTTAATGTGTGTTCATTTCACCGCACTTTTTTGTGCTTCTGTCATAACCTTTATTTATGGTTCTGTCAAGTTTTATTTTAAAAAACTACATTACGCAGAAGGTACGTACACTATTGTTCAAATGTTTTTATTTTTTATTTTTATTGAAATAAATTAACAATTAAACTTCACACACCTGACGACAATAGATAGGTGCGTTGGAGGCAAAGATCAACCAGGTCAAAAAACTAAAAAGCAAAAAACAACTCCCACACACTATCTACGCAAAAAATATCAAAATATTTATTGACTACGTTTCGGTCGCATGACCTTCATCAGGAAGTAAAAAAAAAAAAATTCATGTTTAAAAAATTCCTGATGAAGGTCAAGCGACCGAAACGTAGTCAATAAATATTTTGATATTTTTTGCATAGTGTGCGGGATTTGTTTTTTTGCTTTTTATTTTTATTGAAAGAAATTAATGCTTTATTAAGCAAGGATGCATTAAATTGATCAAAAGTGACGGTAAAGACATTTACATAGTTACAAAAAAAAATATGTAAAAATTAATAAATGCTGTTCTTTTGAACTTTTCATTCATCAAAGAATCCTGAAAAAAAGTATAATTGTTTCCACTAACAAAATGAGCATTGATAATAATAAGAAATGTTTTTTTTTCAAACACCAAATCAGCATATTAGAATGATTTCTGAAGACAGTGGAGTACACTTTTTAAAAAATATATTAAAATATAAAACTGTTATTTTAAAAATATTATTATATCAATGTAATTATATTTCACAATATTTCTGATTTTACTGATCAAATAAATGCATCCTTGGTGTGCATAAACATTTGAACAGTAGTGTAAGTACAGGCATTTCTCAAAAGGACTAACGAAAAAAAAAAAAAAGATTTGTTTCGTTTAGACAAGGTCTAATGAAGCGATCGTTTTACATTAGAATGTGTATACCGTAGTCACAGGAAGGAGAAAAAAATGACTCCTGAATCCAAGAGTCATCTGAATGATACAGAACAGAAAGAAAGCCAATCCTTTGTCCTACCTCCCATTTTCAAATATCTTTCCTCCAAGGAACATTCTACTATGACACAGTACTCCTTTAGTTTCCTGACAGATTACTTCCTCTTTTTTGCTGCTAACAGACGGTACAATTGGAAATCAAAGGTCAGCACAATCTGTCAGCATATAGGGTTTATATGTGCAATCTCTTCCATTTCCTTAGTTTTACTTTCAACATTGATAATAACTGATTTCTGGCTTACTGGAATAGTAATGGGGGTCAATTTTATGTGAACTTGATGCCAGTCCCTCCAACAGTGGCTCGCCAAAGCAAAGTTATGCCCACTCACTGCTGCTAGGCTGTACTCTCTGCCACTATGTAATATCCCCACAACTCAGTGCATCACAGGGAACATAAACTCTCGAATCCAAACACCAGGGCAGGTGTGACAGAGAATACATCTCGTGCTTTGCCAAGAGTGGGCCTCTGTGAGGGAGATATAGCATTTGTTGCTGATTTGTAAGAGGGATTCAGTAGAAGGCTGTACTGGAGACCCACATGGCAGTCTCCTGACACATGTTTACAATCTGTGCACAGTGCTTCAAGCTTGCTCCTCATTAAATTACTTGCATGATGATTTAATGAGCCCCTCTCATGCACAAGTGTCAAGTGCAACGAGTAGGAAGGAAGGAAGGAAGGTGAGAGAAGACAAATGAGATCCCTGAAAGACTTATATGTTTTCTTTCCTCATGCAGGTGAGGTCTACATCCTCGCTTCCAGCAAAAGCACGGCGATAGAGTCGCACAGCGGAAAACTCTACAAGTTGGTGGACCCTAAAAGGTGCGTTGAGCTTCGAATACACAGAGCAACATATTGTATACAACCGAGTTTATGCAACAGACTCTCTGTTTTTCCATTTTCATTGCTCGCATGTGAAATATGTGATGTTACTGCTGAGCAATGCTAATATTGAAACTCGCATAATTAATTCCATTTTTATTCCGCTTTACAAAATATCCCCCGGTATTCTTCTTACGTGCTATGGTTTGAACATCTGCGTGGTTAGTTAATACCAAGAGAGAGAAGGTTATTTTGAAGAAGGTTACAACTGGATTTGTTCATGCAATGAAAATCAAATGAAATTTCATTGTGTGGACAAAAACACTGAGACATTTTAGAAAATATCTTTCTTTTTTGGGTGAGTTAATGATGACCGAATGTTCATTTTTGGGTGAATTATCCCGTTAAAGCATTATTGTTTTCGCTCTCAGACACGCACAAGGGCTCTAGCTTCCTTTAAACAAATCATCACATAACTGCCGCTCTTAGCCAACACAAACCTCGGCTATAATTGGAGAGTAAGCATACCATTTCCAAATGTTAGTGTAACGTGTTTCTAACACCAACACAGTTAAGGTGGCTCAGACACAGCGCTGGTTAACTAGCAAGCCTGTGTGGTCGGTTGGGTGTTTTTCTTGCTTTGACAGGACTTACACACCTGTCTTCAACAGAGGGAATGTTTTCCTTGAGAACCTTGAATACGTTCATATGCTGGAGAATCTGCGGCTGAACAAAATTTATCCAATTGACATACATGTGCGCGAGTTCACGGTGAGAGATTCAAAGCATGTGAATGGAGTTGGTTAAAGTATTTTATCATTTCTGTATGCTCGTGGGCTTTTTACAATATGGCGTAATTTAACCCGTGTGTTTTACACTTTTACGATAGATCTTGAAAATATGTCGTTCTCACCAAGCCAAGTACATTATGAAAGGCATATCATCTATTAGAAATGAGCATATGAATTCCCACATAACAACTGCCAAGTGTTTGCATTTTTAATAGATCAAATATATCATTTCCAGAAAAAAGGGACATTACAATAGGCACAGGCAGATCTGTCAAGTCTCTAATTCAAACCAATCGCTCATGAAACTTGTTTTTGTGCTTTCTACGCTATTCAAAATCCTTTCACTGGACGTTTTTATACCACGAGAACTATATAAATTACCCTCAATTATCAGGTGAAATGTTTCAAAACTTGAGCAGAATCTATGTCTTAAATTATTCAGATCCAAACCACTTTTTGCTGAATAATTTTGCTGAAGCACAAATCCTACACTGAAAATTTAAAAAAAGAGCCGAAATTTCATCACATTTTAAAGAGCAGTTCAAATGGTTTTTCGAAAAATATCTTTTTTGCAGTTTGTAACGTAGCTATCCTTCAATGTAAACAGTCTGCAAAGTTGTTAATCAAAAGCGTGCATGATAAATAAAGATATTGTCTCTCGAAAGAGTCGACACTGAACCGCCTTAACGAGTCGTTATATTTTCTAATCTTCTGCCTGTTACCTATATACGTCACAAGATATATAGGGACATTACAATAGGCAACATATTTATTAACAATAACATATTTGCATAATCCCCGCCTGCCCACGAAATATGAACACTCTGACCTGCCCACAAACACTTCCGCTAGTTAGTGCACGAAGGCACCTCATGAAACTGATTTTGGACAGGCTTCTGAGGCAGCTGCTTCTGAGGCAGCGTAACGGTTTAATGATCTACAACAAAATAGAACAAGTTTTTGTGATAACTAAACGAATATTTAATTTCTATAATACTGATTTCTCGCTAGAAATAACATCAAAAGTGCAAAAAGTTAGTCAGAAATATACATTTACACACAAACCGACCACCAAACGCAACTTTCAGACGCCATCTTTATTTTTTTAGCTCAACTGTAATGGAATGGAACGCACAGAATTGTGGGATATCAAAGGCAGCAAAGGATACATCTATGCTGCCTTCAAAATTCGATCAGAAGAAGGTACCTCCGGAGACAGGAAGTAAAGCAGAATTTGAATTCGGACGTGCCTTGATGCCTTCCTGCCTTGGAATGCTGCCTCCGAAGGCAACATTTTAGAGTTTTCGGACGCAGCAAACATGTCGAGAAGATGCTGTGTTTTCAGCCTCACTGGGCATTCTAACACAGTTCCCACACGTTCATCTCAAATAAGTAAATAATAATAATAATGAATGCAATAAAACTGCTGTCACATTTCTGTAACCTTATAGTATCTTTGTTTACAAGTAACCCTCCGGAGCAAAAAATGTATTATGGTAATAGGCGTTTCGTTTCTGACAAGCATTGTATATGGAAAGACCAATCACAACAGACTTGGCCAGCTGACCAATCAGAGCAGAGTAGGCTTATGGAAGGGAGGAGTTTAGAGACCTTAAGCTCAGAACTGCTTCGAACGATTCGTTTCGAATCATTGAAAAATTATTCTAATATTACATGTATATTCTGAGAAAATGACAGTTTTCTGACCTTAGATGCATTTAAACCTGTTGTAGGGACTCCAACACAATATTAGGACACTTTAAAATACCATATGACCTGCTCTTTAATAAATGCACCTTACGATAATATAAGTCTTAGTTTACATAGTCATATGACTCTAATGAGGAATTGCATTGAAAAAAAAATGTCTGCATATTCTGAATTTAAAAAAATCTATTTGATCAATTTGTGAAAATGTAAACTACTACAAGCATTCCAGGGAAAAGTACAAAACAATATCCAAGTGATTATCCAAGAGGTTCGATTATCTGGAAGTGGAAGCCACTCAGACACTGACTGGTTGTTCCTCAAAACTTTCCATTCAAACAAGAAGATCAGAAAGGCTGATGATCACTTTGAAAAGCTACAAAGTTCAGTATCTAAGAACCACATATGCATCAGTCAATTATAAGATAAGAGTTCTTTGTAACACTGATAGGTATAGGGGACCATGAGACGGCACATCTGAAGTTTGCCTTAGTAGTGGCCCTGTTTCAATTGTGCTCCAGATAAGGCCTAGATTCAAAGCAATATGTGTGGGGTAAATCTAACACTGCCCACATCTTAGTGTACGCTATACCTGCAGTGAATTATGTTGGCGAACGCATCATAAGGGTTGTGTTTCATCAGCAGGAAATGGCGATAAAAAAGAAAATGTATCAACATTTACAGAAATTACAGTAACAAAATGGTCAATGTCCTTCAATGACCCAGTCAAAGTCTGATCTCAATCCAAACATTTTTCCAGTCCATAGTGAAACCTGGAGCAAATCTACCTGGAATAAAGAGCCAATATCACATTTAATAAATAAATAGAGATGGTCATTGCTGCAAAAAGTGACTGAAAAAAATGTATTGAATCAGTATGCAAGCTATGAAATGCAGATATCTAAGAAACCAATTTTTGCATGTAGGATTTCAGCAAGAATTGAAAGAAAATTGCTTGAAGGTTTGAATATTTTATATACAGAGGCACTGTATACCCAGGTGACGACAGTGCCACCCAAGTCTAATGCTATTAATTACCACAGATGTTTCCATGAGTCTCCTAAACAAGGCCCCTCAAACTTACTTTATTTATGTGTTCTGCCATTGCTGCATTTTTCCAAAGAACAATTCTTTCCACCGTTGATTGGAGTTGTTTAGTCTGTAGGACCTGTGGTGTTGGGTTCACTGTTTTATATATCATGTCACTTTTTGTGATCTAATTACCAAATAAAAGAGGTGATATAACATTTCTGAGTGACTAGCACTGTCAAGTGGGGTGGTCCAACATTTACATTTTTAGTATCTACATATACATCTTTTCTGCACCTTTTAACCTTTGCGTTCTTGCTAGGGATGGGCGCTTCAAAATACTTACATTGTGTTTGGAATATGATCTGCCACCTAGCATTTTTGGGTTGTGGAACTGTGGGGTAGGGGAGAGAACATAAAATATATCATAGAGTACCATATCATATAAAAAGTAAAACGTTTGAGATGGTACAGTAACCCTCACTGGGATGACTGCACCCATCCGAGTTTGTTTAACAGTCTGTTAATGTAGAATAATAAATAAGCCACCCGCACACTGAAAAGTGCAGGTATCAATGTCCAATGTGGACAAGAGAGAGACTGTAGGATTGTTTATTGGCTAGTGGCAACAACTGAGAAGATGCCAGTAAGTGAACTATTTATAATTTGTTTTTTCTGTAATATTAAACACAAACTGACGCACATTCTCAGTTTTGCTATTCACTTGTCCAGTGTATGCAATGTTGAAATGCAAGTAAAATTTAGCCCAGAGAACAGAGTTCACCCCACGTAAGCTACCAGAAATTAGAACTTCATAGTGATACTTTTGGCAGATACAGTCTGTTCTGACAGCTGAATGACAACATCCACACATATCAGTAGAAACCAAAGAATGTTTGAAGAACACATCTCAGAAACGCTTTCCTCGTTGTTTTGTCACCAAAACAGATGTGGAGTTTTGGTTGAGAGTTACTTGAGTAATTTCAGAAGTGACTTTTATTCACTCACTACATTTTAGAACCACAGACCTGAAGATATTTCAGAAAGAAAGCAAGTATAACAGCGCATCTTCCATGACTTTGGATTTTGTTGGCTGAATGTGTCGAATAGGTTCTTTAGATGCACTTTTCTATAGTGATATAAAGGTTGCAAATTCCTCTAGGCTTAAGTGTGTGCGTCAAGAACAGGATATACAAACATTTAAAAAGTGCTCACATTCTCCTGGTCCCCATCTCTTACAAGTCTCCTTTATTTATTTGGTCTGTCCTAAATCTCTCCTGCTCACAACCGTGTTCCTCCCCTTGACAAAGACCCTTAGGGTGGTACTGAATGGCCTACAGCTACAATGCACAGTACATTTTTTGATACAATGTAAACACAAAGAGGTGCTAACAAAAGAGAGAGATGACAAAAAAGGACAGAGGAGTCACACAGAGTGCCTTGACAAAGGCTTTTTTATACTGTGTTCGTTGA